TGAGGATCCCCGAAACAACATTGCGAAGGGCTGTCCACTATCGAGTTTTACTTTACCCTGAGTTGTAATCTCCCAATTATTGGAACTTGACAAATACGCATCAGGCCTCGGCCAGTACTGCAAATGAATACTTGACGTACGACTCTAGCTGCCAGTCCACCACCAGCTCGTAATACCCATGATATGCATCAATATACCCCGGGGTAACCACCTGACCCGTTACACTGGATCATACGGGTGCTGGGTATCCAGTGACGGGGACACCGTTGTAGGTGACATACGTAAAGTCACCACAGGACGGTAAAGATGGCATTGGCGGCGGAGGTGGCGGACTTGGCGGCGGGGGCTGAGCCGGGCAGGGGCAGTATGAGATGGCGAACTTGGTGTAACCCCAAGCAGTTGGGGAGTCAGGGCAGAAGGGGTTGGTGGTGTCATTAGCCAGCACCCAGTCAGCAGCCGCCCAGGAAGTACTTGTGTTATCGTCATTGAAAAAACGAGTGAACCAGTAGAAGGTGACCGGGGCGCCGCAGGGTTGGACCAAGCTGGAGTAGCTGGGGGGTGCAGCTTCAAAAATGGGAAGGTAGGCTGTATAAGTAGAGTCTATGAGCCGACCGTTCTCCAAGGGTGCTAAATCGCTTGGCTCCCTGCAGCCAGAGGCGCCATTGTATACGGCGTTGAAATCGGCTTCTGAAAGCATGCCGTAGTAAAATGTGCCCGGCTCTGTGTACCACCATTGTACGAAAATAGTTGGCGTCCCGGTGTGGTGATAACCAATAGTAGCAGGGGTTACTGGCACATCCACAACCTGCAAAAGGAATGCTATGCCGACCTGCCCTTCATAATCAGCTAAAATAACAGGTGCCCCTATGGCGCTGACTACCTCGCCGTTCCTGTAGAGCACTGTGTTCGGACCGCAGGTGGCCAATGGCGCCATGGGGGGAGGAGGCGGAGGGGAGGCAAAAAGTGCAGCTATCTGTGCACTACTGCCGAAGAGCAACAGCACCAGTAGCAGGTGTAGCGGGAAGCTCAGAAGCAGTGGGCTGTGGCAGTTGCAGTGGTGGATCGGCTTCTGCTGCTGCTGCTGCTGCGGCGGCGGCGGCGGCGGTGGGAATCCATGATAGTTAACATTAAGCCCACCACGGCCACCATTAGCACTGCAACACGTGACCATGACTGCCGCTCTTAAGTGCGTGCATGCATGTTTCCGGTAGGTATTCCAGCTGAGCTTGCTGCACCGCATCCGGAAGAGGGCCAGGCACGGGTGGGCGATATTATGTGCTGTAGCATGCAGGCGGTATCCTATGAGTATAATCAAGCCGGGGGCACGACGATGCCTCAAACCCTATGGCCTGAGACTCAACATTAAACCCCGTGCGGTATTGCATTAAATAATAATATTAATTAACCGCAGACCGCAGCTTTACATTCCTGCATCCAATTGGCGGATGACGGATTCAGGGTACTGTTATAGGCAGGGTAAGGGCCAGAGACAGGGCAGGCTGCTCGAACTGGGTGTAAAAAGGGAGCTGGTCCCTTCTTACACTGGCTGGCTAATAATAGCACTGTGTAGATGAACGATGGAGGCGAACGGAGCGCAGGATAATGGTGTATCAAGTTTGTGAGGATTCCATACCTGGAGATGGAAGCTGGATCAACCCTGCTGGCCTATGGACCCATCCGGCAAGGATGACGCTACAGTCATACGACTGTAGCGCTACAGTCGTATGACGCGACAACGTACCGGTGAGTCCCGAATCGCCGCCCGTATGATCTTGGAGGTGAAGCCATGCAGCAGACAGCTCTTAGCTCGTGTCGATATATGTTGGGACCGCGCTGCCTCGTTCACCTTCTATGTGGCGCATAAACAAGGAAGCAAGGCACGCACCATCAGGGTCCATGGTCCAGCAGCATAGCAGTAGCCAGGGTAAATAAAAGCACCCATGGAGAGAAAACAAAGAGACTCCACATGGCAGGGAGGTCGGAGTTGTTGTGAGATGTTGGTTACGGAAGCGAATGGCAAAGGAAAGAGAACCGTCGACGAACGCAGTTGATTGGTGGTAAGTCTGTCGTTAGTTACCTGCGAACATGAGCGAGAATTAAGGACGATACAGATGAACGGATTGCCTACCAGAAGTGAGCTACGCAGCAGCTGTTGCGCGCTGGCTTCCTGTGTCGTCTAAGCTGTCGCTCTCGCTTTCGCGCAGAAGCTGGCCCCTGCCCTGAGATGTGCGCTTTGCAGTGCACCAGTAGCTCTAATGGATCCTTAATCGTAAATATTCAATGGGCTCAAAACTGCGACGCGATGGCGATTGAGGAAACTTTGCAGGCAGGATACCCTGCTGTACCCTTAAGGGTATAGGAAACTGTTATATAACGCAAGGCACACAGGTACCGTGCAGTTACTACACATTATAATTATTGTGCTTTTTGTGCTGAAAGATTAATATGGTTTGGCCTGCATCTGGTGTACGGAAGGCGGTAAGTACCTGTTTTGGATGGTTACGCGCCGTATGTAGTGTGGAAAAACCTGCGAATCGAAGCTGCACTAGTTTATCCGGCCCTAGCTAAATTGAGCGCCTTTAGCAAGCACATTAAAGGTTTTATACTGCATTTTTACAAAAGCTATCCAGTAGGACTTGGCACTGAATAATCCGCGTTCATAACACTATGACAGCAGATTTCGGCAAGAGTCATCTTGGCACGGCGGCACTTCGTTCTCCTTTTTTCCCATCTGCAATTAGTTTTGCAGCACGCACTGCAATCCTGGCGCGCTCTTTTGGCACCTACCATAGTGCTACTTATAGTTCGTGCTACAATAATTCGGGAGGCACCACGAATATGTAGCACGTACAAATTCAAAGGTATCCCGAGGGACCGCAGCCCCGAAATATCGTACCCTCCGAAGCCGGTCGGTCAAACTTCGCAAAAACTAGGATTTCAAGGCGGAAATCAGCTCTTAAATACATAAAATATAGTCATAAACGTAGGACATGAACAACGCTGGAAAACGTGCAAGACAGGCAACCCTGCTTCAATGCGGGATGAAACCGCTAGCACCAAACGCTCCGGTGAGCGACCGAGCTGGATTTGCACCAGTTAGGCTTGATGATGCTGTTGTCGAGGCCCAGCGTGGGCGAATGGAGCACGAGGAGGTTGCTAGGCGCGAGCGCAATGCGGTCAATGCTACGGCAGCCGGCGAGGCGAGGCTTGCGCTCACGCCGCAGCCTGGCATTCGACCTTAGGTTGTTGCCACTGGTACTGAACTGTACGATCGGTCCAGAATTTGCTAGGGCGTTTCCCTAAGTGCGAAAATGGTGAGAGACCATGAGCCTAAGGGTTCCCGGTGGAGGGAGACTGACTGGAAGCTGCAGTTTGAAAAGCCCCGAAACTTTGGAAGGGGCCCCGAAATTTGTATCATGCCCGCAAAACTTCCCCGAAATTCAAAGAGCACGTACAAATTTCAGAACGTTTTTTGACCCCTCCCCGAACAAAGCGATCACGAACTATAAGTAGTATTCGCAAAACAATAAAGGTGACCTCAAGTCTGGGAAGCTTACCAGACGCCTCCCAGACAGGGCAGCAATTTTCAATCCGAGTCCATTGTAAAGACCCGCTTGCTTCTACTAAATTAGAGAAGCAAAATCTCCGCCATGTCTTTGATTAAGCATAGTTTATCATAAGTGCGGTTTTGCCCATGGCTGTAGCGAGCTTTCGCATGACCAGCTGCATGCCGCACTTTAGCAAGGATTAATTTCATTTCTGTTCGTTTCGGGAGGCCCATGAGCCACCGAGCTGCTGAAATAACCCGTGATGAGCAGAAACATTTGATACTTCTCTACACCTTAGTTGGTGTTTCCACTTGGACTAAAAGTTATGGATTAAGGTATATTTTTAATCCGCGCCAATCCACCGGTAATCCACGAGGAATGTTTCATACGTCTGGATTAAGGAACGGATTGAAGTACAACATTTGCCATTCCGTGCATAAAATGCAAGAACGAGTATTGCCATACATTTAAAACATGGGGGCCCTGGTGAAGCAGCTGCCCGCGTACTTAAAGGAAATATACCGTAGTCTTACTTATACGCGACGTTACAAACTGTGACGGGCCTGGCCGAGAGGGGTCTGACATTTCTTCGGTTTAAAAACGAATGGCGGCCAAAATATCCGAAAGTGTGGTCCACATTTCTCCGTTACAATATGAATGGCGGTCGTCGCGGCCCACCGCCCTAGGGCCCCGATAGCGGAGAACTGCACCGGCAGCAGCCATGCAAGCAAAGCTGAAATGCACTTCGTTTGCGACTCTGTGCGCACACGCCATACGAGGCTGTCATGTTCCTTCGTTGCCATCAGTGCAAGGCACAGCACTTGCACCCGGCGCACTATCTGAAACTAGGAGCCAAAGCGGTACAATCTTCCAGCACGCACAGCTCTGGAATTGATAGCAGAATAATAGCACCCCTTCCTCGCAAAAGCTGCCAACTTCACCTGCTTCACAGGCACCGTCAGTCGGCGGTTTATTTCCTCCTTATCCATCTTGCAACATGTCAACAACTATACTTTTCTAAAGAATTATACTATCTTCGTCGGTCCCATGACCTTTAATGGCAGATTAAGCCCGGAACCATCGTACATGGCTCCACATAAACTTGCACTGACAAACCGATGGCGACGCCCTAGGGCCAAAGGCTGGTCCGGATTTCTACACTTTTTGAATGGCGAAAATCGCCATTAGTTTGTAACGTCGCGTATAAGTAAGACTACGGTAGATGCATAAGGTGCCGAAGTAGTCCGTCGGTGAATCATGATGTGGCAGGACTGGAGAGACGAGTGCAGCAGTCTATTGTGAGTGATGTGGGAGTGTTACAAGGCGTTTGGCGCACGGGTGAATGCATGTGCATTCAAGTCATCGTGGGCGCGTCACATTGTAAGCTAAGCAACGCGTGTACCGTTCGTGTAGCATCCGTGTTCAGCACACTTGTTGGAACGAACATGAGCATAGGTTCAGAAGTGCTCACGCTTGGAGGGATATGCAAGCAAACATGGTGATGGGTAAACTCGCACACTCCCGAGCATTCCTCCGAGCACGCTATGAGCCGTCCTTGAAAGGAGCAGCATACCAACCCCCTAACGCCGGTGTCGGCATTGGCACAAAGCAGACCCCCCAAAACGTCGGTGTCGGTATGGGCAGCAGCCGCAGTTTACACAAGAGTATTCCACGGACATGTATGCAATGTGAAGTGCGTGGGTGCCAATCAACAGCCAGTGCTCTATGTCCAGTTCCCGTTACCAAGATAATGAGCGTTGACTTGGATGAAGGTGTCAGCAGTGCCTTCAGAACAGCCCAAGTCGTATTGCCACCAACTGCAGAGAAGCCTGAGACATTCCACGAATCACATGCCCACATTGGCAGGCGCTTACCGGTGCTGCAGGACAGGTCTACATTTCCTACGCGATCGCGGGTTGGTTGTAAATCGATTCGCATGGATGTCGTGTCGGCTGTACCGCCGTCGCACACTGAGCCTTCAAGAGGATTGGCTGCACGGACGGCTGCTGCACCATGCGGACCTGTCGGATGGGGTAATATGCAGCGGACGATTCAGCAGGCATTGTACCTGTATATGGACACGGTTGGCGGTTGTAATACACATCATGATCGCACCTTCCGCAGTCACCAGGATAGGAAATGGCATCATGTAAGATTACTTACTCGCTGAAAGGAGGCGGACTGATGTGGGCTTGTACCAGATGAAAGGTCGTACACCACTACCGTGGCCATAACCCCACCTATGCCACCCCTTGGTTCTCGCTGACCGACACCCGTCGCCCAAAACTGCGCAGCGTCTTCATCTGCACGGGCACATGCATGCTTGGTTGAATGGTGTGATGCGACCGCCCGTTCATTTTGTGGTCGGCAAGCCTGCCACCGTGTACCGGATATATTGGCGATGTTACACAGATGCTGCACCTCGGTTTCCGTGCGCAATGCTTACGATGCTCGACCCCGCCGACCAAAACTACATGTTCCCAACTGAAGACAATCCCGGTGGTTGTGCAGCAGCTTTTGAGCCTGCTGCTGGCTGAAGTCCTTCCGGAGCTGCTGCAACACGGCTAACGCAGGCACGGCCGTATGGACAAAAAAGCTGTTCCAAGCCATCAGCAGCGTCCATGTCACCCACCCACTTTTCTGTTCTTATGTCTTTAATTTTGTGTATGTAATATTTTCTTTGCGTAAGTTTGTAATTTGACTTTAGTCGGAACAAGGTGCTGTATGCCCTATGGCATAAAACGAGGGTAACCCCCCCTTAAGCATAACCCAGGGGTTAGGGGTAGGGGTAAGGGTAGGGGTAAGTGGTTACCCATGTGGCTATATACGAAGGGAGGTGGGTAACCTAACCCCGGGGTAGGGGTAACCCCTTACCAAGGGGTAACAAAGGGGTCAGGGTAACCCCTTACCAAGGGGTAACAAAAGGGTCGGGGTAGTATTGTACTGAGGGGTAACAGACAGGGTAACCAGTGTTTACAATTGTTCCTTGTCCGTATGCCGGGCCATATGCTGGTGTCAATGGATTGTAAGCACGTCCCTGTCCAACCTGCCTACACATGCTATCACAGCTGTCTCATCCATCTATGTGAGCATGTATGCCTATTTCGCCTGTCTATGTGTGCATACATATGTGCATGCCTCTCTATACACTTCCATCCATGCATATGCCTGTATCGAGCTCACATGTCTACACATACAAACATACATGTTCACCAAAGGGCACTTTGAGTGTACAATTGTAAAGATTGCCTCACCAACACAAGCCTTACGGGGCTGTAGAGCCCGCCCATGGCCCCAGGCTCGGTGTGTGTATAAACTCGCTAATTACACCAACGTCATCATATCAAGAGAACGGAAATCAGACCCAGCCCCCAGATTCAGTTCCGTATGATCTGATGTACGGCTCCATACACATGTCTCACTAAACGAGTTGCTGACTCCGATATTTGATTAATCCGAGGCCTCCCACCACGGGGACTCTAGAGCCCAGACCAGTTTTGCATGCACGGAAAAGAAATGGCAAAATTTAAGGTTATGCCTAATAACTGTCATATGACAGAAACCGGGAGGATAGCTATAGGTGGCAATACACAAGGTTTTAACATTAGCTAGTGCCCAACTCTGAACAAAACCCAAAACCAAAACCCTGAGAGCGCAACTCACTTTACTCGCTGCCTATCCGTGGATCAGCTGAACCTCGACGGTGGCGGCTGGTCTTTGCCTGCTCTGCACCAGCCTCAGTTTGGGGCGGTTCCTTTCGCTTCCTACAGCCAGCTGGGTGTCGGCTTCCTGCCGGCTTCCTGCCTAGTTCTAAATCTTCTACTAAAATTTTCCTGTAGCGTTAAGGGCCTTTAATTCATATTGGTGAACGATGCTCCCCGAGCTACCGGGATACTGTAGGTTCAACATGTACATGTAACATGTACATTTACAGAAATGTACTAAAATGAATTCACGAAGTGCGCAGCAAATAAGATGAGTAGCTTATAGGCCCATGTCCACAGTCCAGGGCAACGGAGGGGGTTACCCTGGGGCCGTGTTACCCCTCCTGCTGGGTAGGAACTTACAAGGGGGTTACCAATGGGCTACGGGGAGTTGAAGGTGGGTAACCGATGGGTAACCCATGGGTTACCGACCCAATCAGTGCCTTAGGTTACA